ATACCACTTTCTAACAATCGGCATATACGGACCTCGTGTCTATAGTTTGGCCCGTATATACAGGCCCCATATACAGTCAGGGCCCGGACCTTTATCTGTTCTGACTTTCCTGATATGCTTGTAGACTTCCTGCTCATCAACTAGTGGCAAATCGATCACACTTTGAGAGTGTAATATTGCAGCACTTGTTGCATGATACAAGAAGTCGGTTTGCATACAATTGTTTCTTTCGTTGTAGATTGTAAGTTTTGAATCCAATTTAATGTGTGGTTACTTTCTTGGAGGCTTTTTTCATGCTTCTGTACGTGTTTATGTTTTCCTTAATTATTTTGTGCCTATGGTCTTTGTAGTCTTTATCTATTGGCTTACTTGTAGCTTTAAATAATGTGCTCAGTTATTTCTTCATTTCTTTGTTCGCCTTGTAAGAAGATTTATATTATACTCACTGAGTATTTTGTTGATAGATTTTTATATATGCTCAGTTGATATCAAATCCTCAACCCTCGGTTGAAAAGCGTATACCTTACGCTGGCCATAGACGGACCGCATGTTGCAGTCGACACCGACTGCTCTAAGCGGTCGCCGCACGGCGAACTGCAGTTTCCATACTAAATTCATATCCGCCATACACGGACCGCCCGCCCAATTTCTGAGCGGTCGGAGCAGTCGCTCTGCGGTCGAGTTTCGCGGACCGCTACAAGCGGTTGCTGCCGACCGCGCGCCACTCCCACAAATAAAATAAAATACTAACTAATTCATCAAATGAAACTACGGACATTCTAAAGTAGTTGAAAAACTTTTTAGTGTCTTCTCTCATTTGGGGATACAAAGTATGAAATATTCCATGCTGTTCTCTTGATTGTAGTATTGGACGCATCCACATGCTAAGGTGTCTTCTACGCCTACGGTTGCGTAATAGTAGTACAAGAAACAGTGTTTCTTTATCGAAATCCATCTTGTAAATGAACTTGCATCAGTTTTATTTTGCGGTCGAACACAACTGCTCCAAGCAGTCGTAGTCGACTGCATTATGCGGTCGTGTTGCAGTCGTGTACGACTTCAAAGCGACCGCTCTAGAGCAGTCGGTCTCGACTGCAACATGCGGTCCGTCTATGGCCCGCTTTAGTCACTAGGCGCTTATTATCTCAAATAAAATTTTATACAGCTTATTTCAAATATATATACGTTAAATAAATATACGTAACACAATTATACGAGAGTAGTCTTCACTGGAGTATTACTTAAAATTTAGTGACTCAAAGGGCATATCACGTGATCTGTAATTTGTCAATTTAACATATTACTTTCGCAAATAAAAAGCGAGAATTCTTATCTAGAGACATCGTCATTAAGTTAGGACATATTTTAAGATACAAAATGTAGATACAGATTAAAAAGTTTACATTAATACTGTCATTAAATGAAGGGGGCAGGGCATATAGCAAGACTGTCAGACGATCAATAGACCATTAAGGCGACCCGGTGGGGGGCCCTATTAGGAAACGATACAGAGGAAGACCACCCACGGGATGGTTGGATGACATTACCAAAACGACTGGCTCGAGCTGGATGCAACTCACCCATGACAGAGATACCTGGAGATCCTTGGAGGAGGCCTTCACCTGCGGGAGGCTTTTTTTGCGTGAATGTAAACAAAACCTTCGCCATTAATAAGCACAATAGTCTACACTCTACAGTATGATAATTTAAATATGTTAGTATGTGTGTCTTAGTGGTTAAGTTGCCAACACACATAGAGTGATTTAATTTCAGGCGAAACAATAATACTAGTTGGTCATAGATAATAGAAGCACCATACGGTCATTCTTTCAACTTGAGTTTACGCTGTAATGAAAAAGGGGCACTGGGAAGAGTGTACCAATGAATTTGTTTGATTCACGTTTGTTGTTTACACATAAATATAATTCTTTATTATCAACTATTTAGTAATATCTATAGAGGCTGTGTATACATATTATGTGTATATATGGACCAGTTTATTAATCAGTTTTGCCATTACCATTCTGAAATTATTGATGAAGATTAAATTCTATTTAAAAATTTATTTGATAAATTTTCTGCTTGAATGCCGGTCGTTCGCATCCTTACATAATATTATAGGGACTCCGCCGACCGTTAAATTGATATTTGCTTTTCAGATTATAATGCTTTTGAAGTAGTATGATAAAGCAATCGTGCATGCATTTTTATTGGCTCATGTATTGGTAATCATTTAAGTTTAAACTTATTATTATAACCTTAAACGCTAACTTATGACTATCTATTTATAATGTTTATAACATTCGACTGGGATACTGGTGTTTATAAAAATGCCCCTTCGACAAATTTTCGTATAAAGCAAAGACGATTTCAAGGCTCGGTGGATAAGCTTATTTTGTAAGTACACATTATATTTAAGTGTATTTTTTATTATAATGAAAAAATAATAATGGCATAATTTGCAACTGTCATCTTTGGATACTAGAAAAAGGTGAGATTAGCTTTGGTTTTTTTCTTATTTATTCAATAGTGTATAATTTTATTTATTCAATAATAAACGTTTTACTGAACTAACGAGCGAAGCGTTACGAACTAAAAGCATTGACTGCTTGTCTATTAGACATAAACTCGCCTATACAGCTTATATTATTGGTATTTGAATTCTCCAAAGCTTAATCTAAACTATTTGAGTTGTTCAAACAGTAAATACTTTACGAAGTAGTTAAATATTTTTATAACAGAAGCGCTTTTTGTCTGTATTTTATAGACGCTTGAATTATTTCTTTGTGTTCGAATAATGTGAAGCGAAATAAAATATCTGAATGCAAATGGATGTTCATTTCCTCACGTCACGATGTTAGCACGCCTCAGTCTCCACTGTTTCCGCCGTATCTGGTCTTCTTATCTTTTATATTACGCTCTTCATACTGAGACAGAGAAAGAAAATATGGTCAATTAAGGACAGAATAAAATTCATTAAGCAAAGTATTATGCGGTTTAAAATTACTTTACACTTATGAAGCTAAAGTTCTGTCTATTCGGTACCCTAAATCATCGTCACTTTGTTCATCGTTTACTGCGATTACATATACTTTTCTGCAAATTCATTAATTGCAAGAAGGTTTATCATTTTCTTTTGTTACTTAAATTTTATCTACATAAACACTAAAATTACTCGTTTTAAAAGTTCGAGTGTAATAGAGCATTTGTATCACTAAACATTGATTGTATTATGTTTTATACAAAGAAAATTGTTTTAAACTCTATGTATATATATATGATAGTGTTTTTTGTTACCATACCCGAGGCCCTATTTTACTATTTTCCGTGTTATTTTAATAATTTAACTATTACGCCATTGTCCAGCAAGTACTTTACATTGTTCATTTATACTTTTTATATATTATGCATTAAACTTCAAAAATAACTCTAATATAAAATAATAAAATGTTAATTAAACGAACATAAAACCTACGAAACCTTACCATATACCCTGTTTTTGTCTGATACGTGTGTGGTATGGCTCGAACGCCGCACGCGCCGGCACCAGGTGAGAATGATAACATCTGCCGGACAGCCGGACCCTTTCGATAACACGCCACCACTGACATGACAATGTTATTTGGTAAATAATCAATCATTCGAATAATATACATCTGTTTTATATTTTTTAATTTAGATATTGGAGTTTGTGCGTAAGCACTGATTTTATTTATACATTTTTACACATTGCGTCTACGTTCGTGACATTGTCAAATTGAATTGACAAGTTAAAAACGAATAATTAAATGTTGGTTCTACCTTCATAATTATTTTTATACATTAGTATATATACGTAAATAATAGATATAAAATATGCTCATACAATTATAGGGTTATATGTTATTATACTATAACCTCATACTTGGTACAATCTTCAACAACACTGATTTTATATAACCTTTAAGTAGCTTAAAGGGTTTATAATATAAAAGTTCGTCGATTATTTTCCGCCTTTTTACAATGCCAATTACAATACTCCTGCAACAATGCAGAATGGAGCCCAACACAATACTCTTTGTAAACTAACAAACAATCTAACAAAAACTTTATAATTGATTTATTTGCTTAAGCGCTGTGTACAAACAAAAGCATCGCATTTTTATGTAGCTTTCGCAACATAGTAACCGCTTAAAAATATTTAGATTTTCTTACTATAAACTACAAATCCCGGCAAATTGTCAATGGATAATATCATTCAAATTCGACTACAGATTTGGCGTATCAATTTTAAAATGTAATAGCTCTTTTAAAATGGAGCTTTTTAATACATTTTGTATAACTAGAGTTATAAGCATTTCCAATCTGACCCAATCATGCAACTTACTGATTAAGTAGGTACGGCTTTTATATGCCTAGGTTTTCAAATTAATTGAACTCAAAAGTTAAACAAATTCAGAAGACATTTCTCAATTTTCTTATTCAATTTTATCTCGCATTTCGAACTTGTAACATAATTTAAAGTAATCATCTTATACGTATTTATGATTATACTGCCTAATATTACCGTTGTCAAGCCATGGCTAGCAGATCAAATCAAATCAAAATATAATTTATTCATGTTGGTAATGGTTCTAAATTTACTTTTACTGCCAGTTCTCAAATCAAGGTTTTTTTACAAAATATTTGTAAGCACCTGCAACCATTACAGCATGAGCGGGTCATCATACGATAAAGCAGTTAATCATTATATTCAAATAAAAAACAATACACCCATCCCGACCAGTCACCAGAAGTATCACACTTTCACAAGTAAGGCGCATGACAAGGCATTTTTGTTGCTGCTTTCAAGAAGGCCGTTGTTGGTTGCTGGCGGTGCGAACGCTCTCAGACGAAACACGCGCCTTTCAGCCAGAAAATGAACAAAGCGGTAGCTACCATCATTCAAATTCCCGGGGCGGGTAGCGAAGGAAAATAGTGACGCCACGTGGGAAATCTTTCAGAGATTCTGCAAGGCCATCATGCGGCCTAAAGAAGACGTGGAGAGGGCTAGGGAGGTCGATCCCGCAGCCCATCCGCGTCTCCGTAGAAGTCTACAGCGTTACCGTTCTAACGTGCGACGCGTAATGTCTTTCTGGGCGCGCAGACGGTTCAGCGGGGGAAAAGGGGTTCATGCGTCTATAAGAAGGGATGTTGACGTATACTACTACACAAGCATTGTACCCGACTTTCCTCAGCTCTCAACAAACCTGGTAAAATATATGCCGATGTGAATATGGCCCTTTCTGCGGCTGGCCCGCGGCGAGATGTAGACCAGTACGCTTATTAATGTCAGTGTCCAATAAATGCAAGATTGATCACGCTTTAAACTTTTACCTACATATAATATGCCGTCTTCTTCCGTCCGCTTCTTCGAACTTTTATTGCTCAACTGATTTAAAAACATTTTGTTTTATACATTGTGCTTACTATACCGCTTTACTTGTATGATTAGTGAAAAGAGGAATTAATCGATTAAATGAAAGATGACCGTTTATGAGGACGTAAGAATGTTAGTTTAAAATTTTAAAGCGCAACGATGGCATCAATCTTGGCAATTGCCCGCAAGCAAACTGCATCAATTTGTTTAATAATATGCTGAAATTCAAATTGAAAAACCTTTATTAAAATATAAGAATTCAAAGTTTGTAAAAGGTACTATTTCTTGTAACTAGAAAAGCAGCCAAACTGTTATATCATGAATCATATATTTATACTCATTTTAAGTATTATTTCCTTTTAAATAATTCGACGTCTTTAAACATGTTATTACAGATACAGCCTAATAAAATGTTTAGAAGCTTAATTAATAAATGTTACCTGACGCCTTCATCTAAATTTTAATATCTAAGATCTAGTAACTAATTATTATTCTATTTATGACAATCTTTGGATTACTCGAGAACGTGTCATCAGGATTTAAAGGCGCCGTTTATTATTCATGACATAAATTTGCTGAGCAAGGTAGGTATTACAGGAAAACTCATTAAAAGCAAGGCGCGAGGTGACTTTTCAAATTAGACGCGTTAAGTCCACGCGTGACGCGTTTTCAAGGTATGGTTAATTGTCATTCGAATCAGGTTGCCTTGGTTATTAACACTGGGATTAAGATTTAGGGTTGATAATCAAAGGCTTATTTTGGCGTAGAATGTAGATGAATCTATGTTCAAGAAATTGGAACACTTGGTACAATCAGAATTGTTTTGATCTATTTTATAGAAAATATAGTCTCAAACATGTAATAATGGAATATATATATTTCATAATTTATAACAATATAAAAACTAAAAGAAGTAAGTCCTTTGAGAAAATAAAGTATTGTATAAAATGTATTTGAGGCGACAAGTCGTAGTCAGCGCGCCTATTCACAATACTATAGTTTTGCGTATTCCGGCAACTCGTAAGGAACATAAATTTCCGAGACTGTTTACATACTGTACGATATTAACATATTCGCGGATATCCCCAAGGTACAACCTGAATTTAACTTAGCGGCTTATCTGAAAACACAAGAAGTACTTTAGGGAATTATGTGGCATGAAAAAACTATTTTTAGGGGCTTTAACATTTATCTACAAATATCAATTGGGACTGTGGGATCGAAATAATCAAAAATTTTGATTGACATTTCTAAACTAATATTAAGTATATATAATACGTACTTAAATGTTTAATAGATATAAACGTTTACACAAACCTACGCTAGGTTTATTAAAATGTTTGTAAAAGTAATCAGACTTTTCTTTCGGGCCTTTTAATGACAAGGACGTGGTGGTAGGTGTTATCGATTTTGAGCTTTCGAAGAATTTCAATATTTGTAAAGCTTGTTTCGTACAAAGACTACATTCAGGAGACAAAGGATCGAAATGATATTATTTGCTGAGTTTCGTAGTATTGGTTGTAATATTGAACCTGTCTGGTTTGAATTACTCAGCCGTAAAATTCACAGATTTGAGGAGCAGTAATTGAAAATTTATTTGATTTATTGCCAATTAGATTTTGTATGATATACATCCTTACATATTATAAAATGAAGTCCCCCGGCCGCACCTGTATCGCGTATTAACGCGATCAACTCATGAAGTGAATGGATTTGTGATATGACAAGTAGTTGTGATTCCTGAGAAAAGTTAAGATATGTAAACATTCCTTAGAAATCACAATTATTATATACATAATTAGTTATGATTTTATGTAAATTGTTTAAAATAAAACGATTAATGATGAAGAGGTCGCAAAAAATGCCTAAACAAACGAAATCCCCACGGGTGAAGCTGCGAAGCTAACTAGAAATTATAAATTGTGTATTAAGTCACGTTTAAGATCTCCTGTAGAATTGCAGTTGACTACGTTATTATTATTAAATTTTTATTTCTATTAAAATATATAGACACTTGCAGATAAGCAAACAAGATAGGATATAGCAACAAATTGCCCGGCATAACGTATGACATTTATGAAGCGCTTAGCGAATTGAGCCATAGATAGAGGCGGTGGGAATAACACAACAATGATTTAATAAGAATTTTATTTAAAAATCTGATCTAGGTCGCGCAACAGATGAATAAAAATGGAAGGGTAAGCGTGGCGTGATTGAACAATGCTACTTTACAGTTTTTCCATACCAATATACAAAATGCAATGGAAAATCTTGGAATAGAATTCGACTGAAAGCTCAGAGATGAAATGTCTTCGCATATATTTCGTGGTGAATACCACTGCGCGATTGTTGTCATTTTAAAACCGAAGTTTTACATTGATAAGTTTAAATAGGTTTCTTAAATATAATGTTTAATATGAATTTACTTTCTACAGGAGAATAAAGTTAAATTATTCCTTCCGAGAGAGAATATCATTTATTTCCGCGATGTTATTATCTGTGGCGAGCTGCATTATCGCGCAAATTTAATTAAACAAACTGAATTAAGTCATATTGAAACTTCTACGTTATTCGCTCGTAAAAAACTCCGTTTACATTTGGTTATTCGTAAAAGGGTTTTATGCAACACAAACATTCTCATATCAAAGGCAAAAGCTTGATACAGTAATTGCTTCGAGGTTAACTTATGCATCAACTAAAATAAACTGCTCTAATTAAATACTATATTAAAAAGGGTTTTATTGAACTTGTAGTAATTTATTACATTTATAAAAACGTATATGTTATAAAAAAACTATTATTCAATACTACAGGAACGCGCTTGAAAAAACGTAGACATGACGATGACAAATAATAAAAGGATTACCAGGACGAGGGGTGATTTTGATAGACTATTGAATATCAACTACAAAGTGTTGTTGGCGTGCGAGCTCCTACGGCTTCGTGTAAATTGTTTGACTATACATTAATTACGAGTAATTGTAGACTACGGTGTTATGTTTTACTAAACTCCAAGTACAGTTTGCATTATTAAACCATGATATATAAATGAAATCAGGCTTCTAATTAAATACAAGTATGTAATTGTTGACGGAGCTAATAAGGATTAGATTCGTCGGAGTTCCTATGTTAAATCAAAAACGAAATGCATTTGACATACAGAGTGAAAAACAACAAATTCATTCAATGTGTTGCGCCCGCGTATTATAACTTTAGGAATGGATTTGTTTATTCCTTCCTCAATGGTCTGATATCAATTCAATGCATTAACTAGTCATCACCTAACAGAATCTACGATCTGCCTTGATAATACTGGTAACTTATTAGGTTCCAAAGATCGATTATTTAATGAGATTTTTTGCGTTTTTAAGAATGAGAATTCATAATGAAATCGGGTTCATTTATTTAACTAATTGTCGCATTTATCGTTTAATATTTTTGATATTGAGTGTATTATGTATAAAAAAATTAAAAGCGATGACATCCTGAAAAACAACCTTTACTAAAAAAAAATGCCAAACCGCTAAAAATCGATAAGTAAGCGTTATGCAAATTTTATATTTCCGTGTAGATTAAATTAATTTTTACCGGCAATGACGAGTTATGGGGCCTTTTTTAATTAAAATCCTTAATTGTTGTAGTCGCAGATTACTTGAAGGTAAATTAAGAATCGAAAAAAGTCTTTCTATTAACTTTTTTAATATGACTAACCTTAAAACATCTTTCACCGGCATATTCTTGCGTATGTGATCACTGATTTTCTTAAGATATTTTTATATTATTAACTATTTCTAGTGTACTACTGTTGATGTTCGGGGGACTCAGTGGGTTGATATTTTTTCCAAAGATATTCCAGCTTTCTCACGAGTTTTTACCGTAAAACCGTATGGTAACTTATTATATCGTAATACCCACTGAAAACTGAATGTTTTCACAAGTCAAGAAATGGTGTGACTAATAAAAAAGAACAAAAAAGCACTTTTTTCTGCACAGTACGGATATTATACATCTGAACAAAGCATATAGATCTCTGAAATTTCGAATGTCGCCCTTTTAATAAATCTCAATTTCTTTCCGGCTCCGGAAACTGGATAGCTAAAGCCTCTTGTTTGCGGAAAACGACACAGGACTTAGCAGAGTACATTACTCAATACACGAAAGAAATTGTTAGGCATCGCACTCTGTTACATATAAGAAAAGCAATGTATTATGTTCAGGGTTTTGTATCATTTCAAGTCTATATGAAGCGTCTTAAGCGTAGTCATTTTTCTTAATTCACGACTGCTTTCTTACAAAGACCGGAATTCTTTTTCTAATCTTCAGATGTTTGGTAAAAACAGAATTGCCTAGTAACAAATATCAGCCGCGAAAATACAACCGTTAGAACTTTTTTTTATCTAGAATAGTAGTTGTTATAAGTAGAATAATTAATTTTAAAAAATTCTCAGAACCCATATCATCCGTATCGTATCTCAAAATATACGTTTATTACTTCATTAATATTAAAAAAAAAGTGTGTGTGTGTCAGCTACGACGCACGATTGGAGTTTACTCCTTACGAACGATAAAATGGCGATAATATTCTGTGGCTGTCGACCATATTTTCATACTAAAGGTGGTAAGAATATATGTTTTTATAATATAAATGTTTGTAGTAGTAATAAAACGTACCTACATCATCTATGCCCAAATAGGATTTTCTTTCTGTGACCAAAGTTACCTCTATAGTAAGAGAAGAATAAGAATGAACAATCTTTTTAGTTTTAATTTCACTGACCATTACTATTGACAAAACTCTATGGCACGCTAGACAATCTACTTTTATTTTTTACACCTGTCAACACTGACAATGTT